CAGGGCCATTTCGACCCACCCATTCGCCAATTGATAATATCTTTCTACACCCATCTTTTCTTTAGGGCATAATTGAATATAAAATTTAACAAAAAATTAATGGGTGTAGAAATAAGTTTATTGGGTCCAAATAAAATTTCCCAAAGCCTTTTCACACTTTATTTTCTCTTCTTAAACATTCTTTTGCCTTGAATTTGAATAGACAAAGGAGAATCAAATGATACAAATTATATTATGTACTAAAAAAGTAAAATGAGTGGAGATCATCCCCCAACATATACTCGCACACGCAAGGGGCAGAACGGCGGATGGAGAACTTGTGTTATGCAACAAGCCAATGTGGATGGAATCCATCCACAGACCGGGTACTTCTATTCATGGCACATTTTGGTTTTAGTAGAGGTGATTTTTGATCGAATCGAATTGGAAGCAGATTTTCCAAACCAAAATATTTCAAATACTAAAAGGTTGAATACAGGTCTAACTCCTTCTTGTGCTAAATATGTTGTCATTTCCGAAGAAACTAGAGTTTACATCTCTTTTCCATTTCCATTCAAGAGTTCTTTTGTATTTCCATGCCCCTTCAAGACCCTAAAAAATGGACAACTTCCTTTTTTTAAGGAACACATACAAGATTCGCCATTTAAAAAAAGGATAATGGTAACCCCCACCATTAACTACTTCATTTATGAATTTTCATGGTAATAGAAATACATCTCCTACCAAGACAGAATTCGTAACTTGCTATTCTCTTGCCTAGGAGGTAAAAATTTACCTTCATGGAAAGGAAAATTCATCCAGATCGATGTGAGAATCCAACTATATTGCATTGCCAAAATCCATGTTGTAAATTTGAAAGACGTTGACCCCCTTGCTTCTCTCATGTTACAATCCTCTTTCCTTTATATCCAGCGAGCCTAGGTAACTTCATGAGTTTGGCTAATTGCTAGATTGAATGGTTTAGTTTTATTTGGATCAATCTTTATTTGCAAATTAGAGTTCCATTGCAGCATGGATTACTTTTATTAGATGCTATAGAACAGTGCATGTTAGAGCACTCTTTTGAGAATGACTGGTTTTAATTAGGATCTTTCCACTGATAATTAAATAACAGTATATATTTGATCCTAAAAAAGGCGCACAGAACAACATACTAAGCAAAAGCACAAAACAAGCGAAATCATGTCAAACGCGGGTCATCAGAAAATGATAAACACACATTCTTTTTAACTTCTCATGTACTCTTGTTGAATCATGTTCATTGATTTTGTTGATTTATTCAATTTGATTGCCAAATATTAAGGAGAGATGAGAGAAGTTAAAAGAGATGTGTAAAAATCCACATATCAATAAGTGGAGTAGGAAGACCATATATGCCCGTCACAATTACTCTTAAAGCTGTTAGAACTTAAGCCCAAAGGAAGAGCCCAACCCAAAAGACTAGCCTGATAGGTGGGAGAGCCCAAGGACTTAAATATAACTACACAATTGCTTGTGTAGCCGATGTGGGATCGTAACAAAAGCTAGAAATTGTTTCGCTATTGACGCTTCAATCCGTCCAACAATCAACTTAACTGTTTCTTTTTTTTATTTTTTATTTTATTTTTAAAGGACCAGCTCAAGTCACGACAATCCATCATTCTAGAGGTCAAGAAGACTCACAAATGTATTTCAGATTTTTCCTAATCACATATTAGGTCACCATGGTCCATATCTCTATCTATATGTAGGTTAAGGATTTTATTATGAAAAGATCCTTTTTTGGTGTCCATATAACATTTGTTAACAATTCAACATCAATATGACTCCATACGCGATAAAGATAGGTAAAGATAGGTCAATTAAGTGCTACCTTAAAAAAAAAGCAAAATAACTTAATAATTGTTTTCACAGATGGCTTAAAAGTGTCAGGCCTGGTTTGGTACTGAGGCGATTCTGAAAAAGTGGGTATAAAAAAAAGCCGGAGTTTTTTTGTGTTTGGTAAACATTCAGCTTTAGGTTTTTTTTCACAGTTTTGGGTGAAAAATGCCAAAAACACAAAGTTGCAAAATCCAGCTTTGAAAAACTAGTTTTTTTTTTATATCTGTTTTACATAAAAGTTTACCAAACACTATAATACTGTTTTTTTTTCTTTCCAAAAACACTTTTACAAAAAGTTCACCAAACACTCTACTACTTTATTTCATAGCTTATTCTCACAGCACAGCAGAAACATCTTTTTTTTCAAAGTACAGCAATATCAAACCAACCCTTATAATCCCTAACTTGAAGATAAGAAAGTGTCTTCTTTTACAAGTTAGGGACCAAAATGTTACTTGCTCTAAACAAGAATGTGTAAAGTCTAATCATCCCCATTTCTAACACAACTGATATTGAGAGTTTGGAAATTGAACAAAACGATCAAATGCTGTAATGAATGCTATTAATTAATTAATCATCTGAAGTACAGACCACTTATGACTTGGGATAACTTTTTCCTATTCATTTGTAGCTGGTTTGGATTTTGTTTATTTGGTTGCCTTCTTTCAGGCTTTTTTCTTTTGGGAACAATGATAGGAGAGGCTTAGAAAGCAAATAATATATTTACACTTGAAGGGTGACTTGTATGGTAAGGGTGTGTCGTTCGGTGACGTCTCATGCCAATACTACAAGAACATGCATTGGTCTTTCGCCACATGTCTTTGTATCATTAGCACAAGACGTTACTGTGATGCTGTATCCATATCATACAAGTTGCTCTCTTGCACTTGGTACACAACCCTGGAACCGGCACTATTTGTATCCACTTTGTCATCTACATATACCACCACAAAATTGAACACTCTCGGGCTTTCTCAGTCAATCCTTTAGATCTCTTCTCCTTAGCATCTAATAAACATGTGCCATACTATCATTACTCATTAGCCAACACCCTGTCAATAATGATGAAAACACGTCTACATAATTTCACATATACAACCTTACCTAGCTGCTATCAATCAACGAACACCCATATTCTCCGTGATACACGCCTCCATAATCTTCCTCAGTAAGATTATATGTCCATTTCAACTTTCTAAAGAATCTTTTGGCTTTTTCTTTCATGATTTACGTAACATAATCATGTTCATAACTTTAAATTGTTTGTATTAGTACAACGCATCAAGAGTCTTTTTGTATTAGTACAACGCATCAAAAGTCTTATCCCATGTCCAAATTTGAAGCCTTTCATTATAGTTTAAAACGCGTCTTGATTTTTTTTTTTGGATAACAAAACACGTCTTGGTTCCTTCTATTGTCAGTTAGTTTTGAATTAGATGCTTTAATGCTGCTTCACTTGTTTAACATAATTGACACGTGAGCGGACGAGCTGAGTGTATAAGTAATAATTGCGTATGTATTATTAAGTATAATCAAAGTAGGTAAAAGAAGCTTTGAACCAATTTGAAAAATGGAAGAATACAACAGAAAAAGGTTATCGGTCATTACCATGATCGTGTTACACGTCATGATATAAAACTTGTTAAATAAGAAACGATCATGTACAACTAACAAGTGCTTTCACAAACCATTCATTCATGCGTCTCTTATAATTTAGATGGTTTGATGATAATATTCGTTAACCAAAATTAACATGAAGAGCAAAGCCACTTGTTTCTGCATACCTACAGGCCGCAAACACAAAGATCATCAAGAGAAACTGCAGGATGATCGGTCGTCTCATTCCAGCTCTCGTCGAAGCCGCAAGAGTAGAGGACATCATGATGGTGCAACGGCTCCTGGTGGTGGTCAGGTTGATGGAGGCACCACCACTGCCTCCGCAGCCGCAAGCAGTGATGTTGGTAGCGCAGCTGTTGTAGTGATGACTGCTGCCCACCTGTCTATTATGGATGGCGGTGACAGTGGTAGTGGTCATGGTGGTGGTGATGGCGGTGGTGGCGACGGTGGTTGATGACATTGTAGAGTTGGTGCTTTCTTTGTGCACTTTTGTTCAATTATTGCCTACAATTGCATCACTATTTAAATTTTTTTTTTATTTGTTTGAAAGGAATTTGGGAGGTATCCTTTTGTGTTTATTGTACTAGGATTGTTTACTGCGTGCGATTGTGAAGTTTTGCATTTGAATCATGCATGGTGCCTTCGGTAGCAAATTAATCTGTCTCAAAAGCTTTGTTAGGCTGATCTTCAAACCATCAGTTATTGGTTGCAATTATCGAAGTCTGACGCAGTGTGACATAGAGAAGATCAATCAATGTTAATTTTAAAAAACGAGAAATTTGGGATCCACCACAAAGAAAGAAAAAACCTCAAAATTTATTGATTCATAATTGATAAGATAACAAACCTAAAGCCAAAGAATCTTATATACAGTGTATCTTAACCTAGAAGCCCTTGGAGTCGATGGTTTTTTTTTTTAAACAAACAATATATCTACACGAAAGGAGAGAGATAGTCTCACAATGTGTTAGCAATTATGTTATTCAAATTTGTTTTTAACGAGAATCAAATCTAAGACATCTCACTCACAAGTAAAGAGAAATATCACTAGACCGTAGTACTAAGTGGCAAGTCTATGATTAGAATCAAACAATTAACAAAATAATGACGTCCATAAAACTTAGAACCCTAATAAAACACTAAAAACGATAAAATTTGACTACAAAGCCCATATATCACAGCAAAACAGTGTGCTTAATGCGCGTCGTCATCACTTCAACAACATATCATGTCCCAAATTTGACACCAAAGCAATGTGTTTGTTGCCCAATTTGCGCCTTTCAACTTGATCCTCAATCCAATCCGCCATATGATCTACATCAAAGCTAGATTGCACTATTATACTATTTTGATCACATCTGATGGTTAAGATATGAACATGTATTTGCACTTTAAAAAGGCCTCCCAGAAGAAATAAAACCAAGCTCACCAGCCCAAAACAAACACTAACAGTAAAGGCCCAACAAAACTCAATCCACCAGCGACCAGCAACACATACATAAACCCAACCAAAACGCTTTTGCCTTCATCTCTCTAACTCGGCACCACACACTCTCTCTTAAAGCCCTAATCTTTAACCCTAAAAAATCCCCAAATCTCATCATCTCCTTCTCCCCGCACGTACAGCGATGGCTCTAGTGAGACCCGGATCCGGAAACCAACCCCCAAAGCTCCGATGGGGAGAGCTCGAGGAGGACGACGGTGAAGACCTCGACTTTCTCCTGCCGCCGAGGCAAGTGATTGGGCCCGACGAGGACGGGATCAAGAGGGTGATCGAATACAAGTTCAACGAGAATGGAAATAAGGTCAAGATGACGACCATTACCCGGGTTCGGAGACTCGCCCAGGCCCGGCTCAGTAAGCGGGCCGTGGAGCGCCGCTCCTGGCCCAAGTTCGGGGACGCCGTGCACGAGGACGTCGGTGCTAGGCTCACCGTGGTCTCCACCGAAGAGATCTTCCTCGAGCGCCCCAGGGCTCCTGGTAAGCTTTTGAATTCTTCTTTTCGGGGTTTCGGTATTAGGGTTTTTAATTTCGGATTTTGAGGAAGATTATATGGAATTTGTGTGAAAAACTACATTTGGCTAATTTGGAATATTTCCCATGAGATTTTGATCATATATTCCTCTGTTAGTATTTGCGATAGACATCTATTAATCCTTTAGATTAAATTTTGTCTAAATAAATTTTTGCAATTGGAATAAATGAAGCTAAAATTGAATTGTATTTGTTTTATTTTGTTGTTTGGAGGAAGGAGAGTGGAATTTTAAATGGTCGATACGAATAACCTAACCATTACTCCCTTGCTTTTATCTTGTTTAATGGAAATGTCTGTTTGAGGCAATTGCTATGTCTGAATGAACAATGCTGGCTTGGTGCATGAGTCGGTAGACTGTCTAGCTGACCATCGGGATTGGTTTAAATCTTATAACTTCGTACGGACACGTTTGCATGTCTAGTTATACGATGTAGATTTCTAACCTGAGATTGTGAGTATGTTTAGTTTAAATCTTATAACGTCATCTGGTTCCATGCTCGAATCCCCTAATTAGGTTTGTGGAGAGGTTAAAGGTTGTTTTAGTCAAGAGGCCTACTGTTATTATGGTTACTTTCTCGGATATGATATAGTTCAAATTTGTTGGATCAGTTTGATTTTTGAAGTTACCTTCACTGGCCATGTGATTTTGTTTTGTGGATGATGCATTGTTGACATGGGGGAAAATAGAGGAACTATTTGTTGATGCCCTCATATATCGCATTGCATCTGCGGCTTCTCTGTTATGTCTTTTGTCAGAGATTTGTTTGATTTTCTCTTGATATAGAATAGATTTATTTGCTATCAGTCGATGCCAATTGGTCATGGTAACTGGTATGTTGGGTTTTCTGATTATTATTTTCTGTATATGACTGAACAGGTAGCAAAGCAGAAGAACCAAAGGCTGGAGGAGACCCTCTGTCTCAACTCACAAAAGGAGGGGCTGCTCTCAAACTATGTAGGACTTGTGGTAAGAAGGGTGATCACTGGACTTCACATTGCCCGTATAAGGATCTCGCCCCACCAAATGAAGGATTTAGTGATAAACCTCCTACATCAGAAGTAGTGCCTGGAACTCCTAGCACAGGTAAGTATGTTCCTCCAGTCCAGAGAGGAGGTGGAGACAGAGTTGGAAGTGATATGAGACGAAGGAATGATGAGAACTCTGTTCGTGTCACCAACCTTTCAGAGGACACTCGTGAGCCTGACTTGCTTGAACTTTTCCGGCCTTTTGGTGCTGTTAGCCGTGTTTACGTTGCTTTGGATAAGAATACTTCCGTTAGCAGAGGATTTGGTTTCGTCAACTTTGTGAACAGGGAAGATGCCCAGAGAGCAATCAACAAACTGAACGGGTACGGTTATGACAATCTCATCCTCAGGGTTGAATGGGCTACACCGAGGACAAATTAGAGCTTCCCCCACCCCCTCCTTATCGTTTTCTATAAAGATATTCGCATTAGGAATGTTTTGCAGGATTTTGGTCCTATAATGTTCTGTTCAGATGCTTTGTTTAAACCTATGTTCAGGATTTTGGTGCTCTTGCTTGTAAGAGTACTAAATGAGAAATTAATGTTAGTTGTTTTCAGCTTAAAAATTGGTATGCCTGAAAATTTTGATTGTCCTTGAAACATTTTGGAGATGTGCCTGGAGATCGTAGGTTTACGCTGCAACGAAAACCGTTGCTTCTGCTGAATAAACTCGAGGGTTCGAGTTTCGTACACAATTCTTGCATTAGTGAACAAACATTCCATGTAAAAAAAGGAGAATACAAGAAACTCAATAGCATATCATTATTTTTTCACAATAGGCTCCTGCTATCAACATTTTTCTTAGTTATTCTGTAAGCACCAGGTGCCGATTTCTTGTTAGGATAGGATTGTACTGGAGGAAGAAGCGCAAACAGGGAACTGGATCCCAGAAGAGGCAATGGGTCGGAAGCTCGGGGGAGGACTCATGGCCGAGGTAGAAGACAAGAGACATTCAGACAGACGGAGTTGGATTTCCGCTCGATCGGAGCTTGCAGAATCTGCCGGAATTGTTATGTATGGCACGACAGGCAATTTGCTGTACCAGGAACCTTCCATGGTCAGTTGCCCACCGGCCTTATACCGAAGTATCGCCCTGTAAACGAAGGGTATGAGGCCCTCCATCCGAAAAGCGTATGAGAGCCGGAGAGGTGAACTTTTCTTCTGTGGGGGAAAGACTTGGGAGTGGTTATAAGCAAGAGGAGGGATGGATTATGGATAGAGTGTCCGGTAGAATGTCATTTTCTTCACGCCTAAAAGTGACCCAGTGAGGTAAAATGAAAGCTCATCTCGCCCACTGTTGGAATTTGGTGCATTGGTGGATATTCTTTCCACTTCCAATCACTGTTTTCATGAGACTTAAAACTTAGAACCTCTTTTTTTTTTTTTTTTTGACAAGAAACGATAACGGTATTTTATTGATCATCACAAACAAATACAAAGGTGTCAATTTGATACATTGTTTCATTGATCAACACATTGATCTGAAATGAATTTGCACAAACAAGCGATTAATTAAAAGGAGGCAGATTGTCTGCCCTCCTGTTTGGGGCCCTTCTCATCCCCTCCTATTTTGTGCGGTCACTGTTAAGCCACGTCAAAATAAGAGGGGATGATAAGGGCACCAAAAGAGAATGGCAGACAATTTGTCTCCTAATTAAAAACCCCTAAAACAACTACCACAAATAGGGCTGGACACGAATCGAGACGGGATGGGTCCACCAAATTTTAACACAGGAACCGGACATAACCCGACCGTTCCTTTTTTTTTTTCTTTCTGTTCTCTCCTTCTTTATATCTCCCGACGAGCTCGTTGGAATGGCGTGATCTACTACCACATGCCACCAAATCTACGACGAGATCGACATCCTCCGACGACGGCGACAAAGTCAACATCACCGACGACACCATGGGACCTGGAAAAGCTTCGCAGCCATGAGACCTGGAAAAGAGGGGTTGGTCTTCGACGAAGTAATCAACAGCGTTAACGACGCCGACTCCTCACTCCCTCTCCCACTCAAACTCGTCCACCGTTTGGTTTTGGAACTCGTCCTGGATGCTGTCTAGCTCTTATCTGCAATCTGAATCATTGTAAATCCCTAATTGCGCGAAGATTCCAGAGAGCTTCAAATGGTCGGGGACGATTTCGCTCCTGAGGCTGTCAAGCATGGAGCAAACCTCGCGGCGGAGGGCGTCGTCTCTCGGATCGACGAGCAATTTTGTGGTGCTGCGGGAGCACTGGGTGCGGAGGAGGGAGATGGCCTACTCGACATCGTTGTTTAATTGGAGCTCCTTGACGGGGAGGTTGTCAAGCAAGGTGGAGAGGTCGAGGGTGAGCTTAGGGAAAATGTTGGCGAGGGATTCTGTCGAGGAGCCACATCCGACTCCCATTTGAAAAGTCCTCGATGAAGGTCTGGATCCTCTGGAGTAGGATGTAGAGCTCATGAAAGCAGAGGAGGGCGGAGAGGGAGAAGATGGTGGTGGAGCTCCTGATGATGTCTTCGAAGATCAATTTGGGGGTGGAAATCGGTTCGGGCTGGGGCCCCGTTTCTTCCAGGAGTTGGACCCGTCCCGCCAGCCCCGTGTTGAATTTTAAAATTTTGGACCCGCCCTGAACTGCTTAGACCCATCCCGATCAGCGGGTTCAGGACCCGTTTGCCCACCCCTAACCACAAGCACAGGTGCACTAGTACAAATTTGTCACAAGACCGATAGATGTAACAAAACCTATACCAGTGCACACACCGATCTTCGCTAATGAACCAGGCCACACAACATCATCGCTAGAGGATGAGACCATATAGAGTTACCTCTGAAAGATGAGACCATAGAATTATCGCTCAAAGACAAGACTACATCATCGGCCAATCGCTGAACAAACTCAAATTTCTTCAGCAAAGACTAAATATTGGTAAAGCACGGACAAAAACAGGAGACTCTTCTGTATTTCTGTACGCAAAGACATTTATTTCTTTGTAGCTTAATCCACATGCAGAGTTGCTGTCTCACTATATTAGTAGTTAGCATTATAGTTTATGAATTGTCCAACAGTGAACTGTGAATGATGGGGACATGGGACTATTATATTATCAATATCTATTAGATATATATGCTCTGTGAAATTAGGTTTAAAATTTTCAGAATCTTTGTTTGATACCGTGTCCTCCTGCCTTTTTAACAAGAGATTTTTCAGTGTGCTTTAGGGTCGTTCGAGTTATTGGATTCTCATCAATGTTTGAATTACTCAAGTAGACATTCTCGCTTCTACTTCGTCCACTGTCGCTTGCACAGTTGCTTTCCTAAAAAAAATGATCTAATACATAAAGTGAAATAATACAATTGGTTGGAAACTTAAAAAATAGATATACATCTTTTCTTAAAACAGGTCATTATGCAAAATGTGGACCTATAATCTAAAGTTTCAATTTCTTCAGGGCGGTACTATCCACATACTTCTTTTTACCTTCTCGTCGGGTGGAATGAATTGAAAATAATCAAATGATACAAATTAATAAGAAATGGTGAGAAATGTAAAAATAAGTGTGTGGATACCATCACCTTAGCACCCTCCCTTTATTCTTGTTTTAGTGAAAAGTTCAATTTCTCTTGTCAATTATTCATGTATTTTATACAGATGACTTAACCAGTTCATAAACATATTTTTCTTTCACAAATTATAAAATTCGAATAAATATTTTTTGGCATCGACAAGTAGTAGGAAATTCGAACGTAAATACTTTTTTAATATCTGTACTGATGAACTACTATACGTTTGTTGAACTTAAAATCTTAGAGAGTCAATTTCAGTCACTGTGTCGATTAACCCCTAGACGTTTAAAAATTAAGAATGAACTGCTAGACTTGTTTAGGCGCCTGCCTAGACCTGCCTAGGCACCCACTTAGATCTTGACTCTCACTTAGACAAAAAATACATCACTATCATTTTGCATTTTTTATATAAATTATAAGAGACTTGTTGAATACTTGGATAAACACTTATCATATTATGTTTCCCCATGTTTTTATTATGTTTAATACTTTGTAATTTATATATCATTCTATTTTAATTTATGTATTCTAATACAATTTTATTTTTATATGATATATAATAAGTTTACTTAAATCTGCCTAGGCGCTAAGCCTCAGTTCGCCACCCAATTAGTGCCTAGTATCTTTTAGAATCTTGATTTCAACACACATTTGTTCTCCACATTCACACGCTATACTTATTTCTGATGGTTAGATCGAATAAAATATATAAAAATACACCAGCGAATAAGATAAATTAGCAAAAAATTTTATACAATAAAAATTAAATTTGATTATTTTCTAAGATTTAGAAAGAAAAAAAAATACCACTAAATCAAAAGCAAGTTAATTTAAGTTGATTGACTAAGAGATAAGTGGCAGAATTATATGAAACTAGCCTTTCTGCATGCGCTCACGCGCGTGCGAAAGACATTTTTTTTAATCACGGCGCGCTACGCGCAACTTGCGCATTTTAGATGTATTTATATGCAAAAATTGGTTCAATATATAGAAACATAAAATAAAGGCGATTATAACCTCTAATAATACATGCAGGAATTTAAAGTATTTTATCTAGAATATGTAAAAAAAAAAAAAGTAATAAATAACATAGAAGATCCTTATAATGTAGTTGCAATTAAAAGCTAAATAAAAAGTATAAAAACAATCCAAGAACTTAAATTGACCTTGATACACTTGACAGCAAAACATATCATAAACTCATATCGTTCTGTCATGTTGAAAATTTAATGCTTTTGGTTAAAATCAAATATTAGCATTATTTGTAATTGAATTGCATTAAAAGTTGAAAAAGGGAATTAAACATTAAAAGAAAGAATATAACATTATGTTGAGGGAAGCAAAATATCTTTGTACACAACATTTCTTGTGAAGACTCCTTCATGATCGTGTAATTCTCATTTCTTTACCAAAACTTTTGTTGTAGACGCTGAAACTCCTCTTGATAAAGCCACGTACAATTGTCTATGACTGAATACGTGATTTGGTAGCTAAATACCCATATTTGGTATTGTCTGCCCTTGTGATTTATTTATGGTCAGTGCAAAACTCAATTTCACTAAAAACAGTTTTCTCATCATTTCAAATGGGAGTCCTGCGCTTTATGTGGTCTTTAAAATATGAACATGTAACACAATATGAACAGGTATACAACTCTAAAATATGAAGACATTAATTCCTGTTCAAATCACTGACGGCAGCTGCGATTCACAAAGGAGAACATCTTAAATAATCTGTCATCCTTTTCGACTAAGGAATTTTTCAAAACTTCGACTTTGTATTCCCAATCTTTATTTACAAATCTGCAAAGAACAAAGAAAATGGGTATTGCTGAATGAACTGCAGTTAGAATGAAAGATTTTGGATGCCAATATGAGAGTTAAAAGATTTTGGAGTGAGAAAAAAAAATGGAATTGTAAACTACTTTGCGAAGAGAAAGAGGGTTTCTTTCCTATTTAAAATTTGGTGATGCAGGAGGTGGAAGTGGGTATGACTCATGTACTTGTGGAACGGATGCTGACATCAGCTATTTGTGGGAAATGTTTTTGCTTCACAACAAACTGATTCAATTCTAGCTTTATAATCTCCGGCAATTTTTCAATTAATAGTTAAGCATGGTGTAGGTTTTGAATTTAATTGGTGATGGGTAAAATGGAAAATGAAGACATCAATACGGTGAATTTGAATCACTGGCGAGACATCTCCAATTTCAGAACGAAAATTTTCACAATTTGCAGTTTAATAAACACTTATTATCCAAGACTTGAAAGTAAATGAACCAAAAAATTAAAAGATAAAGCAATTAAACGTAAAGCAAGTAAATGCTTGCAAAAATTAAAAGATTAGGCAATTAAATGGAGAATTACCCTTGGAACTGAAAAATTACTACAAAAGGTTTGAAAGTTACACAGTTAGATACTAAAAAGGAGAGAGATGAGATGGACTGGGAAGGCAAAATTAAGATCGGCAATGGTTAACAACCTACTCCCTTTAATCTTTGCACTGTATTCCTTGTTGGATTGTTCCAACATTGGGCAAGGCAGGGGGCACTGGTTCTGCCATAATCGCAACTACACAATCCTATCCATCAGAGCGGTTTGATAATGCTTCCATGGTTCTCATGCTCCACGATTTTTTCATTCAATCGTATCCATCAGATCAAGATTCCCAACTACACAATCTGTTCAACCAAAATTTAATCAAAATCTACTCATCTCTATTAATCCCAAAACAAACAAAAGCAAATAAAAGGTTAGATTTTGTTTGCATATAAAATTAAAAGTACCAGCATTAAACATCCATGTTACGAAGTCAAGAAGGGGACTGAGTCATACCATCGACAAACACGATCATCCACAGAATAGATTATTGACCCGTTGAAATGTATTTTTCGGTGGTTTGGCAGCAATAGTAGTTAAACAGAATGACAAATTCATGATAGAAGCCAGTAAATGAACAAATCAAACCAAATAAAATATATCAAAGAAATAGAACAACTTATAGCAAATATGTTGTTTGAATTCTTCTGAAGACTGGCTTCTCCTTCACCTTCACATACTCGAAAACAAAACCTATCTAATAATCCAACCACAAAAATGCATATATACTGATTTATATACATTCACAAACGAATATGTACACCGATTAGGGTTTGCATAACCCCTAGAAGAGAAAATGGAAGCTTACACCCCGATTAATTTCCTTTGAACACCTGGAGAGAGGAATCACTGCAAATTCCGCCGTATTCAGAATTGCACACTTTCATTCACAAATCGCAAAGCAAGAAACCGAAAAAACTGAAAGAAAAAGAATCGAGGACACGAACGTTGGTTTCTACCTCCTTTTATCCCACGTTGGAGTGTGGCAATCTCCAAAATCGAGCATCAACTCTTAGTATCAGTTGCAAAACTGAAAATTTTGAATTTGTATATGGGAGTGCATATAAAATACCGGAGTGGAAAGCCTATCAATCATAAAGCGACAAATTGTAGAAACATAAAAGAAAGCAAATAAAAGATCACCAACATCTTACATGGAACTTGGAAGCATCAATGGGTGGACTTCTTCTTATCTGCATAATTTTCGTAAAAAAATAACAATGAGAATAGCAAATCAACCATGAATGCTTGGCGTTGGATTCATGGAAGCAAAATTGAGAACGTAAACGAAATCATTTAAACTGAAACGAAATTAAACAATGCCAGTACTCCATGCATGTGTTTTCAATTCCTCTATCCTGTTCTTGGATTGCTGTGTGGACCATGATTGGGAGAGGTGGGGTATCATTCGCTCTTGATAAATTGAGTTGGAAAAGAACCCCAATTGATGGAAAAATTTGTAGAACGTGGAGGGTTAATTTTTTGACTTTGAATCCCACTTTCGGCAGTTATATCTCTTTTCTGCAAAACTTTTTCTGTTTACAGCTTAACCTACTGGCTTTAATCCAATTTTTTATGATAAAATTACCCTTGCGAATTTGTCTAAAATTTTTTGATGAAGCCTTGAGACACTAAACTCTTATTCTAGTTTTCTAATATTAAAGATTTGGAGACGCTGCCTTACCCCCACTAATTACTGCAAGCCAAGTGATTCTTTCCCAAATAAAAATCAACTCCTCAATGGGTAAAATATATATATATATATATATATATTTTTTTTTTTTTTTTAACAATCAATATTATCTACATTAAGGGGAGGTGATGAGTTTATCCTCACAATGAACTAGCAATAATATGGTTCAAATTTGCCTTTAACGAGAATCGAACATAAAACCTCTTACTTACAATTGAAGAAAAGTACTACTATTAGACCGTGATACTAAGGGCTAGTTTGGTATTGCTGTGCTTTGAAAAAAAGCTGCTGTGAGAATAAATGGATGTGCTATGAGAATAAGCAACTGTGAAATAAAACAGCAGAATGTTTGGTAAACTTTTTTGTAAAAGTGCTTTTGGAAAAAAAATCAGTCTGATAGTGGGTCTTTTCATTAAAAGAGCATTGTAGCTCCGTGTGCTTTGAAAAAAAGCCAGTTTTCCAAAGTTGCAAATAGCAGCTTCAACTTTTTCCTTTGATTTCAGCTTATTCTCACAGCAGCTTTCAAAATAAGCTCTTTTTTTTTTAGTTTACCAAACATCTAAAATCCTCACAGTTTTTTTTCATGGGTGCTTTTTTTTTTAAGTATCTCACCCCAAACCACCCCTAAGTTGCCTCAATGAGTAAATATTAAAAATTCAAATTTTCATATGCAAAGGGATGCAAAGAGGTTAAATTGGGTAAACCACAGAAAGAATCAGAGGAGGAGCAAAACTCCAAAGTGGCAGATAGACGTTGTTTTCCAAAAAAAAAAAAAAAAAAAAAAAGAAGAGGTGGCAGATAGACGTGCGCACTCTGAACTCCGCTCGTCAGCTCCGCTAAGGTTATCGTATATAAATCCAACGGGGCCCAAATATACAAAGACCTCTCCAGATTCCTATTTGCGAGAGACAGTCTGTCTCATCTCGCCTCGTGGGCTGCTTCTTGTAACTCTCCTTCTTCTTCTTCCTCCGCATTTTCTTGGGTTCTCAGATATCTGCTTCTTCTGCCCCCCAGAAGCTGCTTTTCCATGGCTTCCATTGTTGAATCTGGCTGGAGGGTACTTTTTTTAACAACCCCTTTGGTTTTATAGCTCAAAGATTTCACTTGGGGTTTATTTATTTATTTGTTTTTTGGACCAAGGTTTGATCTTTTTGTTGGGCATTGGTTGCTTTTGAATTGGAATTGCTGTGTTTGTTTTTACCCGTGTGTGTGAATTTGGTGATAATGCTGGCATGTGGATTATGATTGGTGTGATGGGTTTTTTATTTTTTTTTTGTGTGTGTGTGTGTGTGGTGGGATTGGTGTAATGATTTGATCTGTATGGTGCATTTGAGTATTGTGGTTATTGAATTTAGTAATGAGATCGCTGGGTTGTTATTTTTTGGATTTCTTTTGAGGAATATGGATTAGGGATGGTGGGGCAGCATTAGGTGTTGAAAGTTGATTTTTGGTGAGGATTTTGGAGATATTTTATTAAGAATATGTTTCTTCGCAAAGAAGCGGGTTGGTGTAATTTATGGTCAAACATTGTGATCATATATTTGAAGCAATGTAATTAGATTCAAGTGTTATTATCTGTTTGTGGGATAACGCAATCATTTGATGCGCCTAGTGCATTTAATTGTCGTTACTGTTTTCAGGGTGGCGGGGTTATTTGGTTTTTGGTTCTCTTTCAGTTGTCAATTTCTGTCCTTTTTCCGTTATAGTGACATTAGGGAAGCATTAGATGTTCAAGATTAATGCTGCGGTGGATTTGGAGGCACATTGTTAAATTGTTAGGATTATGTTCCTTCAAACATAAGTGAGTTTCACGTAGGTTGTGTTCAAACAGTGTTAGCCCATGATGCTTGGATGTGAAGTAATACAGATTGAAGTGGAATTATTCTAACTTCCTTTTCATTAGCTAACTAACTACCTGGAGGTATATGGACAGAGAACTGATACATGGGCAGAGAATTCAAATGGAGGCTCTGTTTCTCTATCTGATTGATCTTGTAATTAGCTGCTATTGAGATCTGACTCAGAAAGTTCTGTTAATCTTTTTTTTTTCCCTTCCTGTGGTTGATGGTGGTTTTGTTTTGTTTTTTTGTTTAGTTTTGTGGGTGTGTGTGTTTGGGGTGGGGGGGGGGGGGTGGATTGAGAAATAAACATTTTTTTTCATAGGCGCTGATACATTTTAGGTAGACGGTCCTAAAAAATCATCCAACCTGTATGTCATTCAAGTTCAAACTTCATTACTTTTTCTAGTATATATTGGGCTACCGAGAACATGGATTGGGAACTGAGTCTAGGTTAATAGCAACACAGTTCTTAGGTAGGTATCATTGTACTCTAGATGCTAAATGATAGAAATTACTTTAATTCTTTTAACTACCTTTGGTGTTTACTTTTAAACATAGTTCCTTGGTTGTTTGTTGCTTTTATTGCCATGTCTGAATTTTGGAACTATTGGCGAGCACATGAAAACTATAAGCGTTCCCAAATGAAAGGAAAATGTAACTGATTTCTCTTGGGCAGCTCCTGTGGTCTGCGATGATGAATTTCCTACTTCATGCACCTAATGGTCTCTACTGTTATCTTATATTTTCTTACTTTTTTGAGATTCTTCTATTTTGACTGTGCAGTATCTGATCACAAATTTCAACGACTTTCAACTGGCATGTCTAGGAAGTTTCTTTCTCCATGAAAGTGTTTTCTTCTTATCTGGACTCCCTTTTATATATCTTGAGAGGGCAGGATGGCTGAGCAAGTTCAAGATTCAGGTTCATCTCTCTTCACTGAGCTCATAGATATGATTTTTTAGATGATGAAGTTTCTTTCCTTTTCTCTAAGATTCATCTGGCTAGTGGCGTTTGTAGGACATGTTTTTCCAGCTCTGTTTAATATAGCTTCCTTAAGGAAGTATTTAGTTTGCAATTATTTGGAGATTGTAGGGACAAATGTGGTCTGGACTGTAATTTTAGCTGAAGTCTAAATGATTGGGGATGGTTGGGGTTGCGTGAAGTTAGAATTGAAGGTGATGGAACAGCGCAGTTGGGTGGAGTTTATGTTGTAGGAAGAAGTATGAGACCAAGGCTTCTTACTGGGCCTTATTGCGGCTGTCTCAGCTTTTGTCTCTTTGGGGAAGGGCTTAGGGGGCAGGTGATGCTCTAAAGGTAGCTCCTTATACAGAGGATGCAGGTCTTAAGAAAATATTGACATTTTATATATGTGAATCTGTGATTAAGAGAAAGGATTATGGTTATTTTTAGTAGGTGTAAGGGGAGGCATTGTATATATTTTGTTTTAGGCATTTAGCTTACAGTGGTCTATGGGTGGGGTGTAATGGGCTATCTCTTTCTTTGATTGGGGTGACTCAGTTTATAGCTAGTTTGGTGAGTGAGCTATTATTGGGTTCAAATAGTCGAAGTGCCACGAAGCAAAATAAAAGTTATGTGTTTTTTGTCTTTGTGGATGGAGTGGAGGAGCTGATGTTCTATAGTGGAGGTAAAGGCACATATGTTAAGAAGGGATGTTTGAAGGAACTAGATGGGCTATTGCTACTAATTTTGCAGATTCATAACAGTTTTCCTTCTCTTTAATGCTTCTTTGTTACCTTCCATTCATACAGCTCGTGTACGAAGGTGCTGTCCCCTTGGCGTTTCAGCAAAATCTTATCAAAATAGTGCCATGACTTGATTCTAGTTTTGTGCAGACAAAAAATAACAGCCCTGCAGCTCAGGAGAAATGTATTACTCGCCTAGTCCTGTATCATCTTTGTGTCAATCTGCCAGTTATGATTGCTTCATATCCCGTCTTCAAATTCATGGGCATGCGGAGTAGTCTTCCATTGCCGTCCTGGTATTTTCAGGTTCTTTATATGCTAGAGCATATTTTCTCAGACATCGTGGAGTTTGATGCCGTTATCATATGACCCATTTAGAATTAACAAAGACCCTAAACTTTTCCGTTTCTGAACAATTTAGACTTTTAAAATGCTTAGTTCTGTAATTCTGCATTTGATTTGGCAGGAAAGTTGTTTCCACTCAGATCATTTTCTACTTCATCCTTGAGGATTTTGTATTCTATTGGGGACATAGGGTTCTGCATACAAAATGGCTGTACAAGCATGTGCATAGTGTCCATCATGAGTAAGTGAGAGTTATAAGTAACTTACTCGGTGCTAAGAGTTTTGAATGTTGTCATTTATGAGTTGAATCTTTGCAGGTATGCTACACCATTTGGACTGACTTCTGAATATGCTCACCCCGCCGAGATATTATTCCTTGGCTTTGCCACCATTATTGGTCCTGCCATTACTGGGCCCCACCTAATTACTCTGTGGTTATGGATGGTACTTAGAGTGCTGGAGACTGTCGAGGCACATTGCGGTTACCATTTCCCATGGAGCCTCTCAAACTTTTTACCTTTGTATGGAGGGTGAGTGTGCTTTTTTCACCACTTGGCCATTTTAAGCAATGTGTATACAATGTATTTTTCTCTGTTTGGTCATTTGTAGCTGAAAATGTTTCTGCTTTCATTGTACAGCGCTGATTTTCACGACTACCATCACCGTTTGCTTTACACCAAGTCTGGCAATTATTCATCAACTTTTGTTTACATGGACAGGTAAATTTTTAGCATGTGCTGCTTAGGTATCTCTGAACTATTTAGTGAAAAGGAGATGGATCAGTTACGAAAGAATTTCTTTACCTTTTCTTTAACAGCTGATTGTTCAATAGTTTAAATAAGTATTTTAACAAGGATAAGTGTTACTAATCTAACAAGAAACCAAATTTTGTTCATTTTAAGAACGTTATTGTTATGACTGACGTGCTCTGTTGCGTACTTATATTTTGCACTTTCCTAATATACCGTCAGGGGTTTGCTTTAAAAATGTTTTATATTACAAGATGAACTGGCTCTCAACTTCTTTTTCATTGTTCATATTTGTGCGGATGATGTTGTTAGCCCAAAGTCTTACCGAACGGTTAAACATTGAGACCAGTGATGCTTCCAGACTCTGGCCATGAAGTATGACTGGTTTTAACCCAAATGATCAGTCATGTTTTATATCACAAATTAAACCAACAGATGCCACAATGCAGCTGAAAGTACGCTAACCATCTCTTTCTACTATACTTTTCAGGTTATTTGGAACTGATACAGGTTACAGAAAGCTGAAAGCGCTGAAGAAAGCCGGAGTAGAAGATGACAGCAAGGAAATGTGATGTGGGAGCCAGAATTTTTATGAACTAACTGGACATGAGTAAATCGGTTCTTTGATTTATGGGCAGTACTGAAGATGTTTCTGTGTCTGTCCCCGCCTCATCCCGTATTCCACCGCATTTTTGTGTTTGATTTCTTTCTGATTTAGAGCTTATGTTAGTGTGGAATCAGTGGAAATGCTTGATGGACATTTGTGCGCTCCTTTTTCTTACATGAATGAAGAAGCTGCCCTTCTATTCTTTCCTCTTCTTTCGGTTCAATTAGGAGCCTCCAAGAAATATGATTATTGAATCATTCAATGATACTCTGGAGTAATTTTTTTTTGCAACAGACGCAAATTTTGATGAAAAGATTTCCAATTTCGCGTGTTTAAGAGAACGAGCTATTGTTTCGCCTAGAAATTCTACTGTAACATAAATACGTAAGAGATTTATTATCATACAAAGAATGCACTTATTTCAGTTTGGATTCAATGTGCTCGTCATCTGGTAATTTGGAAAACTTTTGTGTATTATATCCTACAGAGCTCCTTAATACACTTGAATTCAATGGTTTGCATGTACGAAGCTTCACTTTAAAAATAGGAATGCCTATTATGTTATTAAGATATTTAAATCAGTCTTCATGTTTATATAATGGAACTAGATTGGTTAACCCAAATGACTAATAAAGTTATTGAAGCTAAAATACTTATTAGTAGCAACATTGGTTATAAAGTATTTATACCTAGAATCGTTCTTTCAACAACATAACACAAATGACTTTTTATTTTTAAAAGACGTCAATTTTCAATTAGACCATGTTATGTCATGACATTAAATAAAATTCACAGACAATATTTGAAACAAGTTGGATTATATCTTTCCTAACCTATATTCACTCTGCATTATCAAGAGTTACAAATAAGGCCACAAAATATTACTAGACAATAATAAAGAAATACTAAATAAATATATGCATAATGTTTAAAGATATTCTTCAAAATTTTATGGCAGGTTGAACTTTATACATGCATTGTTAAAAATTTCTATATATTTGACAACAAATTACATAATGTTACACATTTGTTTACTAACAATAACATTTAGCACAATGAACATAGTTCCAATCTGCAATTTGGATGTCTTTCAATCTGGCAAAAAAAAAAAAAAAAAAATTAGAGTTCACGTGGGCAGAATTTGGAGATTCAAACATTTCAACTCGACAAACAGTTCTCTAACTTGCACATCATATTGGTTGATGCAATCGTAACCAAATCATTCTCTCATACTATTTTTATCTATTAACTTAATACCTTTCTTGATGAGCCATGCTTTAAAACCCTCACAATCCATCCTCAAGTGCTCAGAATAATTGCAATGAAAACATCTTTTAAAGTGAGGCTTGTTAGGTTTAAGGTCAGAACTAGTGGTGGCAACATTACCCTTATTAGGTTTGGTAGAACTGTTTGCATTCTTCTTGGTTCCAGAAGTTCAACCGGACTTGAAATTCTTTGTTTTGGCTTCCACTTTTCTGAGTTCTGAATATCAGCAACCTTTTTCTTGCCTTTCCCTATCTAAACGAGATTCACTCTCACCCCTATCTGAACGAGATTCACTCACTTTTTTTACTTCTTCATCACCTCCTCCTCTTGGCAACAAATGGAAATGAGTTCATTAACACCCCAAGTCTTATTTTGAGTGTTTTAGCTCACTTGTAACTACTCATAGCATTGAGGTTGTTGGCAAGGTTAACCAACTTGAGGAAATGTAATCTAACACTTCCAATGTCATCATGCTTGGCATGGATGAGTTCTGATAGGTAGACACCAGTCTCGACGTTATTTGACCTCTTGCACTTTTCTTCAATTTTCACCATAAACTCATTTGCCAAACCGCATCTTGGAATGCCCCCTCTTATGTGATCCTCCATAGCATTTTGCATGATCAAAAGTGACGTTTGATTTGCTTTATGCCATTTGACAAATTCCTCTCGCTGTTGACTGTTGCTATCAGTATTCAGAGCTGAAGGTTGTGGCTGTTTGAAGGTAATATGATACTCCAACATGCCCAAATGCATCCCGATTTGCTGCTTCCAAGTTTTGAAATTGTTCTCATCCAACTTTTCAATATTAATGAGATTGAGCAGATGTACAACATGATTTGCAAATCCACAAGTTTGTGAAAATTAAGAGAATCATAGCTACATTGTCACACTAAAGTTAGGGTGGTGCTATCTACACACCAATTTTTACCTCTCACACACCCTTCTCAATTTCCGGCCGTCGGATCGAATGAATTGAAGAAGATCAATAGACAAAAATTAAACGAGGGTGTGTGAAAGGTAAAATGAGATATGTGAATAGCACTACTCTAAAGTTATATAACCAATCACACCTTTGAGCAAATATATATATGAATGAATTACAAGTCTTGCATAGCCAAGTATACAACGCATAAGCAAAAAACATCTTTAGGCAATAACTTTTCACAGAAAAGAAATTTCATGTCAATCATGTCATTATACATTAGTTTATAATGAACCCAATAGACAAATTTTTTTTTTTTGGAAATAAATATACCTATTTATGTATATAAATAAAAAATCAGTCATTTAAGCTATAGGTAAATAACTCATTCATTAGTCGATTAGACAAAACAAAATTAGGTTTCCATTTTTATTCATTTCAACAAGCAACCAATTCATTATCTTGTTGACTAGCCAGAACTCATTGTCCAGTTATCAAGATAATTTTGACTAGACGAAAAGCAATAATCACCGAATAAATGTAAAAAACAAAACACACAAAATTATCGAAAATAAATGCAGCAGCATTTAAACAATACGATTCTGATCTTTAAACAAGTTTAAAGTTTTGATTGACTGACTCTGACACCACATAAAGCATTGCATGGACACCCTAAGCACTATCGAAATTAGTAAAAGCCATTACCCACGCTATATGAATATTAGTTCGTCTATCATAAGTTAACCCTAATCAATATTAGTTCGTACCTGCAGAAGACTCATCAAGAATGAATTCAAACTTTGTGTTGGAAAAATATAAACGAAAGTATTTTAGAGATTTGATTTGATTTGATCTAATTTTCCCTGTCTTGTGTACAAAAATTTAATTTACTTAGTTATTTTGTTTTATTATGTGAGTAATGCCACGTAGATTAAACTAAATGATGTGTCACCAATAATAAATAAGCACGTTAATAACACTTAAGTAACAATATAATCATTAATTTACATGTCATTTAGTTTACTTAATTTAATTTACACGTTTAATCTTCCTAACATCATCCTTTATTATGTAGGTTTCATTATTCTCAAGGAGTTAGGTTTACTTTTTCATTTGGTTTACTTATTCAATTTGGTTTGTATTTTGTACTCTTATACCTCCTCAGGAAGAAGAATAAAATTAAAATTGTATTTGAAAATTGTGACAATGTAAAAGAATACTAAATTTATTCCTCAACCCTTTAAAAAGAAGTGCGCATTTGAACAACGTTAACTGAGAAGAACTACCAAAGACAGTGCATATATTGACTATAACCACCCAACAGTTACACCTAATAGGTTATAACCATCTATTAACATAAAATAAGCTCAATTAATTTGTTTTTTATAAATTCAAAACTAATATCTATTTAATTAATTTTCAACCATCGGATCGGATGAATTGAAAAAAATCAAAGAACAAAAATCAATAAAAAATGTTTAAAAAGTTAAAAAAAAAAGTATGGATAGCACACCTCACCTCTTTGTTCAATTACTTACTTACACGTCAAAACACATATACATCAACCATAATTTGGTTTCACACGCATTAAGAGTAATACGTTGAACGTAACTTCTAGCTTCTGTCGGTTTTAGGAAAACAGACTCCATTAAAAACGACTACAAACACAAGGCAAGGAAACTTTCCATTCTGTCGGCTTATTTTCCTTAATTTGCCGAACAAACCTCTTTCTTCCCTTTTTTTTTTCTATAAAAATGTTCCAAAAAAAAATAAAAAAGCTAGACTTTAAACTTTCGACTCCAAAATAATTAAATAAAAAAATAAAGAAAATGCTCCACGCAACAAGCAGCGCAGACGGTCTACGTGTTGAGTCTCAGGTTCACCACGACGACGGTCACGTTGTCAGTGCTCTGCCTGGCCAATGCCAACTTCGTCAGCAGCATCGACGCGTCGGAACATGCCTTGTCCGACGCCACCGCCGCCTCCGGCCCTGCGCGCTCGGCCGCAGCAGCGGCCCGTTCTCTTCTCAGGCACATTCTCGCCACCCCGCACGCCGTGTCGTTCGACACCACGTCCCAGAGCCCGTCGCTCGCCAAGATCAGACACTCGTCCTCCACAGTTCGATCCGTGATCGTCACCTCTGGATCGCAGCTCACGTACGGCTTCAAGTAGTTGTCGCCTGCAAAAGAAACGACAATTAATATACTGTCGTAAGAAGGCCGTCCCATCAAGGTTTTTGCTTTTTTTACAGTTTTCCGTACCTAGGGCTCTTGACATTGCCAAAACTCCGAGAACCCGTGGGCCGTCCCAGTATATGACCCGCCCACCCGCCTCCTGGATCCGATTCAACTCATCGGGGCGATCCGGCTGTTACAGTAACAAGAAAAAAAATAATTGACGCAGGTCCATCGAAATAAAGTGGACTCGCATGAATTCCACAGCAACCAAACAGAACATAAACAATGCGATGAAGCCAATTGTAATTGACCAATTGACCTTGTGATCAACAGAGAGGGGAAGGGCCTTGCCGTCGCGGCAAAGCACAGCTCTCGAGTCGCCGCAATTGGCCACGACGATCTTATCGGGAGAGACGACTGCTACGACGGCGGTGGATCCGACAGCCTCGGACTCCGGAGTTTGAAGCTCGCAACGGCAATTGCTCACTCCGACGCCGCCTTCGCGGCTCCACGCCACCACCTCCTTGTCCATCCGCACGAAGCTCCGCTCCATCGCCGTCTTCCATTCCTCCATGTTCTCCACTTCCTCCTTCACCAGCTCATGCATCCGCTCTCTGCATTTCGTCGCCACCTGTAAAAATACAAAACGACGAAATTATTTTTAAAAATGCAATTAATTCAAAAGTCGTTTCAGGGAAAAAGAGACTCTGGAGTCGTTTTAAGTACGTGGGAGCAACCGTGGCCGTCGTAGACACCGAAATAATGCAATTGAGTGGTGGCGTCTCTGATGCGCCGGCAAAACGAGGGGTGTACAGACACAGCGTCCTCCATATCTCTACGGCGGCCGCAGACGGAGGCCAGTCCGTACTTCGGGAGCTCTCTCAAAGCTTCAGGGACGTTCGATGACGAGGACGCTCGGAACTTCGTTGACTTCTTTTGACTCGGGGGGATTTTCTCTTCGTCGGAAGAACCGGAGCACTGCAGGGCGTTTTCCAACTCGCGAGAAGCCGACGACGTCGTACGTGATGCGGCTTTCTTCCGCTTCTCGGAATTGTCCGGTGACTCCGGCGCCGGTGGGGCCACTCCGGAGACGAATTTGCAACGTCGGATCTCCATCCTCCTCCGTCTCGCTGCTCGTGAACTCGCCTCGCAGGGATTTGACGACGCGTCGCTTTCACTCACTACTCCGTACCAGATCTCCGCCATTTCAAAATTGCCAATTCATGAATGCTGGAAAGTCGGAGAATTTTTTAATTTTATTTTTGAAAAATATATTGAGAAAATGTTGCAAGAGTACGCTCGCGCGCTCATGAGTGAAGCTTATAAAGATAGAAGTTCGGTGGGTTCCCGGGCCCACCCCTAGCTTTTTAGGGTTGAAATTTTTTGTATTGTGTCGAAAACATTATTTAATATATTAAATGTTAATATTTTTAATATTAAATTATTTATATTATGACCTTTGTTATACTAAATCGTGTTTTTAATATCTTACTCGATTTACGTAGAGACATGCAACTCTAGCTTCTCTCTTGCCCGAAGTCGTCTGGGGCAGACGGGCAGGGAAAAATGGTGCGTGATGTAGTGCTCTTCTTACTGAGGAGTATTCAATTGCGATTTTGAACGGTTTTAATTATTTTAATAAATTTTAGAGTATTTAATTAAGATTTTAAGTAATTCTTTGAAATTTAAGATGTATTCAATTACAATTTTAAGATAATTTATTAAAATTTTAAGAAATCCGTGTGTATTCAATTAGAATTTTAAAGAAGTTCATAATATTAGGGGGTATTTAATTAGAAATTGATTTTAAAGAATTTTAGAAAGTTGAAGAATTAGGGGACTTGAAGAGATTTCGTAGTGTATTTTAAGCATCCACAAATTTCACCTCTGCCTATAAGATTTCTAGAGAATTGAATAAAATTTTTATATAGAATCTCTACAAATCAATTAAACTCCATAAAAATCTATAAATTTATAAATCGATTAAAATCTTTCAAATTCTCAATTGAATACATACGTAAATTTTTGACCGTCGATCTTGTTATATAGGTTTTATCTTGTCCGTCAAGACCAAACACGTGTACCTAACAATGCGGGAGGGCGGAGATACGTGGGCGAATCAAAATCCGACAGTCAAGAAGGGAGTGAGCTTGACACGTATGTGGTCCACTGCGCGGTCCCCCTAGAGTTTTCAATCCATTTTCCGTTCGACATTTCAGTACGTGTAGCCATGTGTCCTCTTCCATCACGAAATAGGGTTTTGTTTGATTAAAGTTAGTGATGACGCATTTTTTATCCCAAATAGTGGTTCATGTTTTTCGTTTTATATTTCAAACTCATCGACATCTAATCACTTAGTTTTGCGTCTCTAACATTCTTATTAATTTTAAAATTTTTAATTATGAGTAATGTTATTCATATCATATTTTTATACCACATTTCTATACCATTTTAGGTATCATCTGATGTAGAAAGTCATATTATTTGAAAATTTTGCAAAATCCAAGAAAATAACGGAGAAAGACTCCTCGTATACGACACTCATCATTTAATTAACTAAGTTTTCTTAATTATTAATTTATTAAATAATGAACTAAATTTAAAAATCGGATTAATTCAAATAATGTGATTATTCATATCAAATATTATCTACGAAAATATGGTACAAAAATATGGTATGAATAATATTACTTTTTAATTATTGATATTCTTTAAATTTCAGTTTTAAAAGTAGTTTAGAATGCAAAAAATTCCTTAAAAAAAGTGTAAAAGCAAATAAGAGAGAAAAGGATCGGCGATTTCTGGGTCGGGTGCCGGAGCGGTGCGACAGCGGGTTAGAGAGAGAGAGAGAGAGTTGCCGGAGCCGGGCGACGGTGGGGTAGAGAGAGAGAGAGAGAGAGAGATGCGGGGTGTCAACTGTCAAGGAAGGTGGGTGGGTGGCGCTGGGCAGGGACAGCAGTAGCGCTGCCTCTCCTCTACGTCCAACCTCACCCAACCTGCTGCAGAGTCATAGCCGGCACCATCCCCCACCATATCCTACGGTCCATGATCACGTCGTCTTCTCCCTGTCATTGTCTTCTTCCCCAACTTTCTTCTCCACGCTTTCCTCAGAGCCGCCATGGCCAATGACTAGCCCCCATCTGTCCTTTATCCCTGTCATGGGCCAATGATTTTCTCTGCAAATTTTTTTACAGTAATCCTATGCTTACCACATTAATATACCACATTAGTGTACCATATTATGTGACATCTAATATAGCTGTCCACATCATCTAAATTAATCATAATTTAATTTAAATTAAAAACCATTTAATAAACCAATAATAAATAAAAAAATCTGGAATTAAATGATGTTTGTGGCATACGAGAAGTCTTCTCCTTCCTTCCTTCCTTAAATGGTTTTTAATTTAAATTAAATTATGATTAATTTAGATGATGTGGATAGCCACATCAGATGCCACATAATATGATATACTAATGTGGTATATTAATGTGGTAAGTATAGCATTACTGATTTTTTTAGGATAATGTTAAGAGACTAAATTTAAAGAGAAAGTTTTGAAAACTAAATAACATTTAAGAATAATTTATTACTTAAACATTATAAACATGTTTATTTATATTAATGATATATTATTTAGTTTATAAATTTAGTTTCCAGATTTAATTTTCATTACTCCTTTTTTATGCTTCTAAACTCAGCGTTTAATAATGAATGCATGTGGTGATTGTTATTTGTTTAGCTTAATGTGGGAGTGGAATATACGTGTCAAATAATAAGTGAAAAGGGCCAATAAAGAACGGCAATACTAGGATAGTCAAAATTTTAAATTAAAATTTATAACCAATTGATGTTGGTGGTTTTTTTTTCTTCAAATAAACGATATTATTTATATTAAAAATAATGAGCTTAATCTTATAAGAGGTCAACTATTGATGTAGATTTGGATGGTTGAATTATTATTTAAGGGAAGCTTTTAAGGGTAGGGATTTCATTTTTTTTTATAAAAATTGGGATTAGTTGTGGGATCTACACCACATCGAACTTTAACAATTTGAATAGTTTATTTTTCAAGTTGTACTCATCCTTGCAAAATATTAGTCAAATCAAAAATATTTTAAGATATCTAATTGGGTTCAAATAAATGAACGAATACTTTGTTATATAAGAAACAATGAAATTTGATCTTGATAATTAAATAGGCAAATGATTTTAGATTGAATTGAATTTTTGCAAGGATGATCTATGAATCGAGACTTACAAAATAGATGATTCAAATCGTTAAAATCCGATGTGGAGGGGACCCCACAAAAAAAAAATAGGGATCCCTTTGCATAAAGGGTTTGATTACTTAAGTGTTTAATATGCTTAGTTTTGTTGATGATATATCATTTAATTTGTAAATTTGATTAGTTGTCGCAATAATTGAAACAATATCATAAATAAAATTATAAAATAACATTTTTATTTAACATTTTTTTAGTACATCAATATTTTTACACTAAAAGGAAGAATAGTTTGACTAAGCCACACAGTGGGCAACCTAATTTTGGTATTGAATTCGTCATCTATAAGATTCAAATCGAAGACATCTCATTTCCAAGTGCGGAAAAATATCACCAGACCATAGTACTGAATGACTATTTAACATATTAAATACAGCAAAAAAAAAAAAATACAATTAACACATAAACCACTCGGCATCCAATATCTTTATTTTCTTGGTTCTTTCTCTCACTCATCTTTCTCTCTATCTCGTCCGATCCTCTCTCTTTTTTCCCTTTTCTTCAATCATCTCCGATCCTCTCTTTTTTTTCCCTTTTCTTCAATCATCTCTTACTTTCTTTCCTTCCCTCTCCTCTTTCTCCCTCTCATGTGATCTCATCTTTTTAGATCTCTTTGTCAGATTAAAAATTTTTAAATCGCAAACCAATCAAGTTTTTTAGTCTTAAAGAAAATTATTTTCAAGAAATGTTTTGTGAAATGATAAAAATTTTCAAATAGAATACTAAACAGACCCTAAATGTCTCTTTCAAGCTAAATCTTAACTAAATCCAACATTGAAAAATTCATTGTAGAAAGAGAAATGCTAAGACTCTTAAAGTGGGACGGTCTATAAACTCTCGTCATCTCATCGTTTAACGTTATTTATTTTGTTTTAAAATATGAAGTGATAGATAACTGCTAAAAATTTCACTTTTAAGAGAGTATTCTTAACATTTTTGTTTGTACAAAGCTATTTATCTCGTAAGAGTTTTTAATGGTTTGTAAATTTTGTTAGACCAGTTGTGTACTTAAATTAACTATGAAGAGCATGAGTTTGTTGTAATAGAAAACAAAAAGAATTATATTATTGAGTAATGTTTGTCATGTTGAATATTAGATTAATTTTGTGGGATTCTTGGTACTGTTATAAAAATTCCCACTTTGTGCCGCTAAATCTTGTCTAGACGCTAGATGATTAGATATTGACCCGGTTAATCCTTAGGCATTTAAAAAGTAAGAATAGTATTTAGATCGGCTTATGCATCATCTAGCCCGATTAGACGCTTATCTAGCCTGTCTAGACCCATTTAGGTACCCATTTAGATCATGACTCTCACATAAACAGAAAATCAATGACTTTTATTTTTCATTTTATTTTTTTAATAAATTATAATAAATTGGTTGAATACTTAGATGAATACTTATTATATGCTTGTTCCTCATGTTTTCAATGTGTTTTAATACTATACATTCTACTGTCATTTTATTTTACAATTTATGTATCTGAATACAATTATGTATTATTTAAGTATAAATAAACACTTATTTATACTATATGTTCCGCTTAGTCTGCCTAGGTTCTCATCTAAGCCCTGCCTGACTGTCTAGACGTTAGACCCCAACTCGCCGTTTGACTAGCGCTTAGCATCTTTTCGAACTTTGTTTGGTATTCAATTGCAACAATGATATCTCCTTCTTAAGAGTGTTGGAGAAAGGGAATTTATTTACAAATCAGTTAATAAATATGTTGTTTTCGTTGAACAACAAATTTTTATCTCACTAAATGGAGTCAGCTATGTGAATCTGTAACACACTTAATTTTGCATCAAGTCTTCCGAAGTATGTTGCTTTCATAAAATGGAAAAATACAAAAATTTAATAAAACAAATCCAAGCGTTTTTTCAGAAGAACAAGGAGGAAATTTCATTAAAACAGAGGTCAAAATAGGATGAATTTGGATGAGCACCACAATTCCAAATGCTGGAGTTTCATGCCAAATACAGAATAAACAACAAAGA